ACTGCCAATAAATATTAATATAGAAGAAATAGAAACATATATGCAGAAACATTAAAGGTGTCAAAAGAGATTGAGTCAAAAGATCAAAATACAAAATCTTAACAATAATATATACTAAAAACTTAAAAGAAGAAAACATTTCATGGGTTTTACCAGTTGATATATATAAACTAGCAAAAATGTATAAGGACAATGAAGATTACAGTTTATAAAACTAATACAGTCAGTTTATATCAAAACTATTAAAACTTTCTGAAAATGTATCTGAAGTTTTACTACTGTGATATTTAAAAAAAAGAAATGCAAAGTTGGTATATATACCAACAAACAAAAATAGTAATTAAAGAAGATCTGCAATAATTATTTTTGCATCAGAGAAGAAAATAAAAACAGTACAAACTAAACCAATAAGATTTAACAATCACTTGTTATTTTGGCAAGAAAAAACAAGAAAAAAGAAGTATAGTAAAGAGGAAGCTTGCTATAAGAGGTACATAACTACACATGACATAGATGAAAATTCAGATACAGAAGAGTATAAAAGTAAGAGAAACATGAAAAAAACATGATTTGACTTAATTAAAAAGTTTATTTTTAGTAAACTGAAACCATTTAAATATGATTTTTTAGACTAGTTTGATACAACTTCTAAATTCAGATATAACTCCAACTAATGCAACGGATCACCTTTGAATACTCACAAAAACAGCTGAAAGCTGCTAAACCAGAAAATTAAATCAAAATATGCATAAGATTAATGTTTATAACTCTTAATAAAGGTTGATAGCAAGGCTGCAAAGAGTAAAAAAAAAATCCGGGGTTAACATTTCTATGTAAAACTGATCAAATTTGTTAATCACATTTTTTGAAATCAAATTCGCGTGAAATTTTATATTAAACTTTTTGGTCACAATTATCTGTTGTACATATTTTAAAGTTTAAAGCATGTTAAGCTGAAAAATCATTCAAGTGTAATCTTAAAACTAACCTCAGCTAGGTAAACAGGCAAGTAAACCATCTCATATCAGTTTAGTTTTAGGCGTTTTTTTTTTTAAGATATGATCGATTAGCAAGATTAGAGCACTCTTATGACATTCAAAATACGAAGAAATGCAAACTGCCAGGTGTGTGAATTCAGGGAGTCGGAGAGACAGAAGCCTACTGAAACCCTAGCCATGATGAAAACGAAGACGAATTGCCTGATCATGCGACTTCGGAAACATCCTATCCGGCACCAATAAGACTATTGTTAAGTTAGGGAAGACATAGGTTATAGTTAAAATTTTGCAAGGAAGTTCTTTCAGTAATATGCAAAATTTTTGAGTTATTCGCGAAGAAATCTTGACAAACCTGATCTTGAATTTGATTGGTGGACATTGATGAACCCACATGACCTGACACCATGGTCAAGAAGTCTGCATATACCATTGGTATATTTTTGTACCGCGCTTACTTCATATGCTGCAAAAAATAACATTTACTTTTCATTAAAGTATGTCCATGTCCATGTGGTTTATTTGAGTACGTTATTTCGCGACAAAACTTTTCAAAGACTGAAGATTACTATAACATTAAATCCGCGTTATTTCGGGAGTTATAGTATTTGAATGAATGAAATCAATTATGCTAATTTTTAAAAGGTTCAGTTTCCAAAATAACCAATGACTGTTATTTCGTGGTAAAAAAAAATTGCTTGTTGATTATGACGACAATTGTTATTGTTAGCCGAATATTTTCTTTTAAAATAAATTATTACGTAATTGGTAATTCATAAAGACTTTGAATGCAAGAAAAACTTCAAAGAAAAGGTTAATCAATATGTATTTATATGATAATTAAAAGTTTTAACGTTTTGGAAATAACTTTATTACAAATAATGTAGGTAAACCTTCTATAAATACACTCCTATTATATAGGAGAATTTTCAAACCGTACATTTAGAGATGTGTATTTTATGGTTGAAGAGTTCTATAAACTTAGGATTAAAGCTTAGCGTGCATTTAGGGAAGGTATACATAATGCGTGCATTTGGAGGGTAACAGTGCAGAACGCTTAAAGACTGAGAAATGAATGGTCTTGGCATTAAAAATTAATAAATAATGACACATAAATGATGCAAGGAAAGGAAGCCAGCAAGTTGTAGCTATTTACTTACAACTTGACGGCTTCCTTTTTTTTTTTTTTGAAGTTATAATTTTTTAAAAGAATATGTGTAAAAAATTTAATTCACCAATCAGACATCAGATTTCATAAAAATTTATACCAACCAAAAATTGCAAAACTTTAGTCGGTTAACGGAAAATGATATCTTTTTTTGAATCAAATGTTTGATATCAAAATATCCTTCACTGTATCAAAAAATTCTTGGCTTATCGGAAACGGTATTTCTATTCATTTAGAATAGTAAGCCTGTCTTATTCTTCACGTAATTTTACTATTATTAGGATTGTTATCGGCTTGATCCGGCCAGTTTGTATATTCAATTTAATTATACATATAATTATTAATGAATGAACTTAACTATTATCGTTATGAATTACTGCTGTATAACTCCTGGACAGTGCATATCACATGAACAGAAAATCAAGTGTAACAAATAACATTAAATGTATTAAATGTATTAAATGTTGTAAATGTTGTGTATAATTAATTACATAGATGTTTGGTCACGTTAATTTGATAGCGGGAATTTTGTAATCGATATTCTTTGATGTAAATTGAGACATCTAAACTAATGAAAACTAATAGAAAGGGATAGTAAAGATAATAAGAAAGCCTTCCGGCTTCTGGTAGGTGTTAAACTATTCCATAAAACCAGTTAAAAGAAGTCGGTTATCCCACAAAACCAGTTAAAAATAACTTTTGGTAAATGCGTACGTAAATGCATACAAGAATTCTAGAATATGCATGTTAACTACTGTACCGGACCGTGAAATTATGCATCTTTAATTAAAGTTACCAAAAAATTTGTTAACAGCGAATTTTAGCGTTAGGACCAATTAATATTAAAAGATGTTTGCATGTAATTAATTAAATAAATTTTACAAAATTCCAAGGTAGGATGTTATTTGAACGACCATAAATTATAGCAACACAAATGAGGTCAGAACAATCTTATTCATCTTGCTTTATCTTGCCTCGTGTTAAGAATATTCTCTAGAGGATCCTCATGAGTTTGTATGCTATTATCATATCTACTACGGATCATATATCGTATTGTACCACTTTAATTTATTGGAGACTTTGGGGACACAATCGTGAACCCATTTATATCACATTTGATATAATCACATTATGTAGTACAACCATATTATGCAGGTAGTACAAACCCTCATGACTGTTACACAAATGTTATTAATGTGATTATATAAGGTGTGATGTAAATGGTTCAATCTACCCAGGCTTTTTACTAATATTTAATCAATTATTATTATTGACGGTTGCGCAAAAAGTATTTGTTTGATTGTTTATTTAAATCTGATCTGCAGAACAAGATGGCATTGATAATATCCTTGACAATATCCTTGATAAATATACCCCTTGAGTGAATTTGTAAAAAAAAAAGCGTGCCCAAATAAGGTTTGAGGTTAAAAAAGCGGAGTAGTGTCACTGTTTAAGCCAAGGCGGTAAAATTACCTCCCTAGATTTTTATTAGCCAACTCCAAGATAGGCTTAGATATTCTACATGGCAAATTTTTCGGTTTCTCCGCATAAATTTTCAATAAACATTCTTAGACACTTTTTCTTTTTTTTATGCACCTTTCACAAGAACCAATTAATTCGATTATTCTCCGAATTCAATTTGAATAAAAAAATCCTTATGCATTCTAAATTGCTGTTACTCAATTCTCATCCAAACTTAGACCTATTGGTGTAAAAGGTAACATTTCAAAATAAAAGATTACTGGATTTAATTATGCGCAATATATATGCATTTTCTTACACTTGGCATATTGGCGTTTTGAAGCATTTTGTCGATACATATCTTCAAGACAATATAATCTAGAGTAATCTTTATTTCATTTTAAATTTACCAACTTTAGAACATCGTGCAACCATAATATTTATGCTAAACTTTAATTTACCGGGAATTAAGTCAGCAAAAAAAAAAAATAATAATCAAATACCTTTTCTTGAGCGATATGTCATGTTATGCTATGTAATAAATGCTTTGCTAATGTCTGACAAGAGAAGCCCCAAATCCAAATTAGAACCAATGTGTTGATTTGTTTTTATTATTTTATTGATTTGTTCAATGAAGAATTTTCCAGACAGTTGATATAAGTTAATAAAAATATGGATTGAAATCTTGTAAAATCGTATGCTAAATATGCACGCAATACATAGCAATGGATCATCGAATTACCTCTTAAAAAACATCTAAATTTAATAACAATCCTGTTTCAATGGTTCCTTCAAGTCACAAGTGATAATGTTCCCTAAAAAAGGCAAAAAATGTCGGACTCAAAATGCACCGTATCTATATTGTAGTACCTTATTCGGACCAAAAAGGAACTTCAACCAAGCAAAAGATATGCAACGTTCTAATTCATGTTATGAAGGAATAAACTAAACTGGTAAATTGTTTTATTACTTACCAAGACCATCAAATCGGATTCAAGATATTCCCATTGAAAATTAATGCATCTTAATTAAACATTGTCAACAAATTCACTTATGAATAATTATGGAAAAAAATATTAAGAAAGATCGTTCGCAACTAAAGTTGAAAAGATATAAATATCATGGAATTCTCCTCGTTATGCTTTGCTTCATCAAACCTCGATCCATTAAACCCCTACTCCCGATTCACTCTTTTACCATTAATTCCTACTTAATCCCCTTTCCTTTAATTATTCTCCATATACCATCCTCTCCTCCTCTTCTCCTCTCCTCATTCCCTAGAAAAAATACAAAAAAAAAAAACAATCATTGTCTAACTCTTCAAAGGATCACTCAAAATGAGGTCCTTTACATTATTTCTGATCATCATCAATACGATGATGATATTCGTCGTCAGTAGTCAGGCAACCGCAATCAACAAACGTCATCCATATGAAGTTAGTAAGAGTTCAAGTCATTCAGAACATCAAGAACATAGTGAAAGTGATTCAAGCTCTATTAAAGTTAAACAAGATGGTAATGGAAAAAAACAAGTCGATGCCGATCAAAAACATACCGAACATGATGCCAATAGTGTAAGCGATAAAGATTCTTTACACATTAAAGGCGGTAAAGGCAAAGAACTCGATGCCAAACATGAATATAGTGAAAGCAACAGTCATGATGAATCTGATGAAAACAAGTTACACTATAAGCAGGGTCATGGTAATAAAGAACTCGATGCCAGCAGCAAACATAGTGAAAGCGATAGCCATAAAGCTAGTGAAAATGACAGTTTACACATTAAGAATGGTCATGGTAAAGAATTCGATGCCAGCCATAAATACAGTGAAAGCGATAAGCATAAAGAAAGTGAAGACGACAGTTTACACATTAAGAGTGGTCATGGTAATAAAGAATTCGATGCCAGTCATAAATCTAGTGAAAGCGATAGTCATAAAGCCAGTGAAAATGACAGTTTACACATTAAGAATGGTCATGGTAAAGAATTCGATGCCAGCCATAAATACAGTGAAAGTGATAAGCATAAAGAAAGTGAAGACGACAGTTTACACTTTAAGAGTGGTCATGGTAACAAAGAATTCGATGCCAGCCATAAATCTAGTGAAAGTGATAGCCATAAAGCCAGTGAAAGTGACAGTTTACACATTAAGAATGGTCATGGAAAAGAATTCGACGCCAGCCGTAAATACAGTGAAAGCGATAAGCATAAAGAAAGTGAAGACAACAGTTTACACTTTAAGAGTGGTCATGGTAATAAAGAATTCGACGGCCAACATAAACACACTGAAAGCGATAGCTATGATGAAAACGATGAAGGTAGTATCCACTTTAAGAGCGGTCATGGTAAAGAATTCGATGCCAAAAGCAAACATAGTGAAAGCGATAGGCATAATGAAAGTGAAGATGACAGCTTCCACTTTAAGAGCGGTCATGGTAAAGAATTTGACGGCAAACATAAACACACTGAAAGCGATGGCCATGATGAAAGCGATGAAAGTAATTTCCACTTTAAGAGCGGTCATGGTAAAGAATTCGACGGCAAACATAAACACACTGAAAGCGATGGCCATGATGAAAGCGATGAAAGTAATTTCCACTTAAAGAGCGGTCATGGTGACGGTGACAATGGTAAATTCGATGGCCACTTCCAATCTGGTGAACATGGTGAACATGGTGAAAGCCATAAAGTAACCATTAAGAAAAATGGTCATGGTTCTAATGGAAAACATGAACACGGATGGGAAGAACAAGGATGGGAAGAACACAAAACTGTCAATGGTAAAGAAATTGTAAACAAACACGGATGGCAAAAACACGGATGGAATAAACATGGTAATGGTCTCAAACACGGTGAAAGTCACAGACACGGTGATGGTAAATTTGTTGTTCACAAGAACGGTCATGGTAAAGTCTCTGTTCACAAACATCATGGAAAACATTGGTGGGGACATAAAAACTGGTGGAAAAAACAACAAAAATCTCTTAAATTCCGAAGCAACCAATGGTTTGAATACTGGTGGAACCAATGTGAATCTAAGGGCGCTGACTGGTGGACCAACTGGTACAATAAATACGCTAAAGATAATGAAGATGGAAAAGACAAAGATGCAACATGCCAACATACTAAGGAATGGTGGGGACACTGGTGGAAACAATACGGTTGGAAAAAACAATTTGCTGATGGAGATTGCGATTATAGCGGCTTTTCCGTATCCTCTCACAAATCCTCTCACAAATCCTCTCACAAATCCTCTCACAAATCCTCTCACAAATCAATCTCCTCACATAAATCATCCTCACGTGAAGAATTATGCTCTGATGACAAATGGTTTGAATCCTGGTGGGAAGAATGTCAATCCAAAGCCCCTACATGGTGGGATACCTTGTACAATAAATACGCTAAGGATAATGAGGATGGTAAAGATTTAGACTCTAGATATCATCACACTGAAGGTTGGTGGAAAAATTGGTGGAAAGTAGAAGGATGGAAGAAAAACTTTGCTGAAGAAGATTGTGATGCCGATTGGTTCAAATCCGAAGAAGAATTTCACTCATCTAAAGAATCTCACTCATCCCACTCAACCAAAGAATCTCACTCATCTCACTCATCCAAAGAATCATTCTCCTCAAATAAACAAATAGTCACTGATGACAAATGGTTTGAATCCTGGTGGGAAGAATGTCAATCCAAAGACTCTGCATGGTGGAATACCTGGTACAATAAATACGCTAAGGATGGTGATGATGGTAAAGATTTAGACTCTAAATATCATCACACTGAAGATTGGTGGAAAAATTGGTGGAAAGAAGAAGGCTGGAAGAAAAACTTTGATGCTGAAGATTGTGAAGACTTTGATATATATATGGAAGGTGGCAATGATAAAGATGGTGATAAACATGTTATTAAGGATAGTGATAAACATGTTATCAAGGATGGTGATGAAGATTGTGAAGAATATAAGACTACACAATTTTTTGATGCCTGGTGGAGCAAATTCGAATCAAAAGACTCTTCATGGTGGGAAAGTTGGTGGAAGAAATATGCATGTGACAATGATGATGGCAAAGATTTAGATCCTAAATACCACCACACTAAAGAATGGTGGGGACGCTGGTGGAGTCAATATGGTTGGGAAGTAGATTTTGATGATAGTGATTGTGATGAATTTAAGAATCTTGTACCCACAAAAACCCAAGGTCCCAAAGAAGTCCCCCACCCCGGAAATCACAGTAAACGTGACTTCGTGATTAAAAGAATCTTAGGATCCAAAAGTTTAAAATCAAGATCCCAATAATGGTCATTCCGTAAGATAAAAAACGAAGACATTTCTATACCATTGATCAAAAGTAAATTATTACCGATACTTTATTGAAATTATAAATAACCTGAACATACATAGAAATAACATAATTATTATGTTTGGCTCTTTATATTTACGTATATTAATTTGCGCTTTAGAAAAATTGTCATAGAATTAAATGTATAGTATCGTAAATTTATTTTTTGGGTTTAATGTAATCTTATATAAAGTTATCACATAATAAAATTTAATGTTGTGTACAACAACAAAATTTTATCTCTACGATTGTTATTGTTACTAGTTCCTTGCTTTTAAATGTATAATGAGATATTAAAGTGAAAACTATTAAATCTTTCGACATCAAATTGCAGAGTCCAATATAAAAGTGTCTGCGCGCACTGATCAAATTGTTTCGTGCTAATGAAGTATTTATTAAATTTAAAACTTTCAATGTTTTATTTCCTACACTAGAAAACGGAAAACTGAATTCGTGGTCTAATATCATTATTATTATTTTTATTATATATACTAAAGTAAATTGAAACAATTCCTTAAATTCTTTTGTAAATTTTCTAATTTAAATCAATAATAGCGCGCATAAGTTTTAAATCTTGCATTTTGTTTATAACCATTTCAAAATATGGGGGTGTCAATAGAAACCAAGCAAATGATTTTTAGTGAGTTTTTTTAAAAATTTAAATTAAAATATCTCAACAACTATTAAACCAAACTTGGTAAATTTTTTTTATTTTAATTCTATAACAATATAAAATTAAAATTAAAAAAAATTTATCAAGTTTGGTTTAATAATTGCTGAGATATTTTAAAGTTTAGAAAAAAATTACTTAGAAACGATTTGCTTGGTTTCTATTGACACCCCCATATATAGACGAACGATAATAAATGTTGATATAAATGAATTTGTTGGTAAAAAAAATTTATTGGTAACAAATTCATAAAGTTTAGATAGGTGGACTCCAGCTTGGAGTGCAAAATTAGATGCTTATCATTTCATCGGTTAACTTTTAGCAGTATAACATATTTAACATTTTTAGCAGATATAGCATATTATTTTTTTCAAATTGATATTTACAATTTATTACATAATTAACTTTACAGTATATTTCTATGGTTTAAAAAAATAAAATTTCATCAACATTCAAATATTAGGTAGTTTGTCGTTTTTAGTAATGATAATTCAACGGCATTCAGTACGTATTATGTATTTTGTCGCTTTAGTAATGATAATAAAAAAGAATAATTAATCAGTATCACTATGTATTTGGAATTTAGATTAAGAGAATATAATATATTAGAAGCTGAAGTAGAGATGTTAATCGACTCAACCAACTATATCATATTAGCTTTATTCATATTATTTACATTACAGCACTAAATCGCCTCTAACAACTGATTTTACAAAAGTTAAAAATTTTATGATTTCACTGGACATTTAGATAAGTGTGTAAAAGCTATGCATTTACATTAAAAAATTAACATCAAATTAGCAGATCCAATGTGACTTTAAAAGTTTTTTTGAATAATATGAAGCGGTGCTCAGCGACATAGCGAACTTAATATGTGTCAGTCGGTGACCAATAAGATCGCAGCTTTGCGACTGCGATTTTATTAAATTGCTATTAAAAAAAAGTCTGGTTTGATTTAGATCTATAACGGAATTTAATATTTTTCAAGCCTATTTCGTTACATTTTTAGGCCAGCCCAGATTCCCGTTATATCGATAGTTGACAGTAGTCACTTCGATTTTGAACCTTTCATACGCCACAAAAAAATTCGGACATTTCCTTTTCAAGCTGATCTTTGTTTGAGATCGTTTCAACAACATAATAATATCCAATATTTTCAAGTTATTGGTTTAACACCTTACTCCACTTATTCGTAACTTTTCGAATGCTTTCAGGAATAGATAATTTGATTATACTTTCAATTTCTTTATCAATTAGTAAATAGTCACCACGATTTGAACTTGCTTATTAAAATTTATTTATTTAAATATTAAAAATTCAATATTTAAAAACTTGCAACCATCATTCATATTTAATGAACCATTTTTATTTTAGGTTACTGTATTAATATACATGACAAGAAGAGAGAGAAATGACTAGATTTTCATTGAAGGTTTATTTATATCAGACAATCATAATTACACAAATAGTTAATTATTTGATTGATATACTTAAGTACCTTTGGTTCTAAAATTGTATGGATTGGACAAAAAAAAATTTAGCTAGTACCTTGGGTTCTAAAATTGTATAGACCAGATAAAATGTTTAACTAGTACCTTGGGTTTAAAATTCTAATAACCAAGCAAAACATTTAAAATTCTATAAACCAAATAAAATATCTAATCAGTATCTTGGATTCTAAAATGTATAAATTAGGCTAAACATTTATTTAGTATATTTAGCTTTAAAATTGTATAAACTGGATGAAACTTTATTTAGTACCTTAAGCTTCAAAATTGTGTTGACTAGGTAAAATATTTAATTAGTATAATAGTCAACAAAAGTAATGTCCAATTTGCAAATTATTATATATAAGCAAATAAAAAGGTTGTGCATACCTTATTTTTATGAATTTTGAAGCAATTTTTTTTTATTTTTTGTTTTCTTGATATCAAAAGAACCAAGCACATATCAAAAAAAATTTTTTTTATAAAAATATAAACAAATAATTAAAAAAAAGAAAAAAATAGTTCTTGTTCATATTAGTAAAATAAGTATTAAACAAGTTATTCACAAGATTAAGTGTAATTTAACAATAGTTTAAAGATTTTTAAAAAAATACAAAAAGATCAAAAAAATTAATAATTTATCTTAGTTTAGAAATTTTTCTGTCCTAAAGAATAAGAAAAAACTATATAGTAAAAAAAGTATTAAAGAAAAAACATATATTACTGCTTAAAATTGTAAAGAATTTAAAATTTTAATGCAGTATGTAAACTGTAGTTAGGATTTTATACAATATTAGACTTCATTTTCATGTTACTATCTTAAAACTTTTTTTGTCAAATAGTAATATAGAAGAATGTATAGAATGGTATAAACAAAATAAAATAAGAACATTTATTATTGAAAACTTATTATTTTTTTAGATAACATAAATATAAAAGTAGAAAACAATTATGCTAAGTTTGTGTATAGCATTGTACAAATAAGAGATACAATATAAGTGTTTATAATTAAATTTTAGAAATATAAGAGTCTTAGTAATAATTTGATTATATTTTGTTAATAATATCAAAGATTCTATAGTTTTTTTAATAATTACAAAGGTTTTAAGCAAAAAAATTAATAAAAATATTTATATTAAGATTTTAAACAATTATCTTATATTATTTATAACTGTAATTTGTTTATTAAACAAACAGTCTTTATTCAATTTTTCAACATAACAATGTTCTGATTTATAAGGTGTCAAATTAGTTAAATTTGAAAAAAATTAATTATATGAATTAGCTCTTATAATTCTCTAATTTTAACTCTATAAAAAATATTTAAAAAATTATAAAAAACAATATTTAAAACTATAATAACTTTCTAAAAAATAAATCTGATTTTAAAACAGTCTTACAGAAAATATAATCAAATTTAAATATATTAGTTCTTTGTGTAGTTGTAAACTCAATAATATAAAGAATTAATACTATTGCAAGTATAAAAGATTGTTCAATAAAATATTAATGTATATGTAACTAAAATTAAATAAATAAAAATTTTATTTTTTAATCAAAAATTAGGTATTATTTTTGTTAGTTACTATACTTTAAGCTTTTAAAATTCTAATAACAAAATAAACATTAATTAATATCTTAGATTTTAAAATTGTGTAGACTAGAAAGAACATTTAATAATAATATTTTAGATATTAAATTCTATGAATTAGTTAAGATATTAATCAGTATCTTGGGTTCTAAAACTGCATAAACTAGATAAAACATATATACTGTTGTTTTAAAATTTATAATTAAATAAAACAATTAAGTTCTTTTATTTAAATTTCTATTTTTAATAGATTTAAAATACTATTTAAATGTTTTTTTTTATTTTTGTTTGTATTTATATCTTTGAATTAGCAGATTTAAAATACTATTTAAATGCTTTTTTTTATATTTGTTTATATTTTTGTTATAATAAAAAATGTTTTTTTAAAATTTTTTTTTAGATGTCTTGTCATTAACTTTTATTAAAATTTGTATTTACAAATTTGTATATACTTTGACTTAATTTTTTGATTCAATATTCTTTAACTGCTTTAATAAATGCTCAAAAACAGTTTATTGATTGGTTAAAGTAATACTTAGATTTGAAAATTATATCAGACTAGCTTAAAAAACTAAATAAAAATAGTTTTACTTTATTATCTATATAACTTTTTATTGAACCAAATTATATTTCTTTTATCTTGCTTTTTTTTATCTTTTTTGTTTTCTTATTCTTTTTTGTAGTTTAGTTTTTCTATTTTAAATATATTTTTTGTTTAACTATGCATCTTTTTATTTTCAGTTTTGTGTTTTTTTTGCTTTGATAATTGGTTAACTTTTTTATTCAATAATAGTTTTATATACTTTATTTCGTATGCTTCTATAGAATTTATTCTATACTGTATTGGTTACTATAGCTTGAAATTTTCTTGTTTTTTTAAGCAGCTTTAGTATGTTTTGTATTTACTTAAATGTCTTTTTCAGAACTAGACATTTGATTATTCTTATTTTTGTTTTTTCTTGTTTACTTGCTAAAAAACTTTTTTAAATTGCCTTTTGCTTGTAGCTGCTTAAGTTTCACTTGAGAGTTTAAACTATACAAGATTAATTAAAAGGTTTTTATTTTTTTCTAGTTGTTCTTATAATACTTACATAATGCTAAATATTCTTAAATTTTTTTCTCTTCTTCATTACAAAATATGTAAAATAAACTTTTGTAAAGGTTTGATCTTTATTATATTAAAGATTCTAGTAATGATAGCCTATTATT